TTCCGCTTCATTCAACTTGCTATCAGTAATCTCAGTAATGGCACTGGTGCTCGCAGTAGCACTTATAGGAAATGATAATTTTGAATATGTGTATTTCGGTTTTTAGGTGGATGTGAAAAATCATCTGAAATTGAAGTTTGGTAGCTCGTACTCTGAAAATTCTGTAATGTTACGTTAACAAATTGTTTTGCTGAATATTCTATACTATCCGAGAATTCTGAAGTGATATTATTACAATTAACAGGTGAACTTCTAGTCGATCCTAGAAATAATGTCGGCACAGCACTTCTGTTGAGACTATTCCCATTACTGTTTTTAAAATATTTTAACTCAAAATGGTAATCGCAAAAATCATTATATGTGTTTGTCAGAGTATTTTTCTTTCTCTGACTTGTGTAAATATTAATGTATCGACACCAATAAATGATTTGATTGAAGATAATTTTTTGTAACTTTTAATTTTGTCATCATTAGCAACTAGGCTAAATATGTAAAATAAATAAATAAAGATGTAAGCAATTACTACAACCAGTTCAATTTTTTCGCATTCACTATGTCATATAATATATAATATAAACCAATTAAAATCAAATTACATAGAAAAATGTGATAAACTACAGTTTCATATTGTTAAGTTTTTACTAACTTTTAGTAAAGAAACAACCTTTCGTTTTCCATCAAAAATATCTATTAGATTCGCCCATAGACGTCAATGTAGTCAATGTGGTTGCCTAATTTTATTATCATTACAACAAAACTAGACCTTTTTAGTAGTGACGTCACATACGCCAAATAATAGGCAACCCCACAGTGCACATTGCCATGAAGAATTTCTCAATATTTTTACTAGATCGATTTTCGACCTTATGTACTTTGGACATAAGTGCCAAAAAATGGCTTCTTCGTCATGACCCTAAATATCGCGATAATTAGATATATTTAAGAAGTTTCAAACCCCAGGTGACAAACTAATAGAATTATAGAATTTATGTATTTAAATTTATAGAACAATATTGACTTTTATAGTAATTAATAATTAAATATAATTTCATGGAAGTGAAGTAGCTTCGCGACAGGAAATCATTCAAGAAGTTTGGGTGTTGTTAAGAGTACGTCTATAATAAATCACTTGAAGAAAAAAAAACACTGGATAAATACCCTGACACAGTACAACACCAAGAAAAACAATAAAAATACTTAGTAGAACTAGAAAATGCCAATATTAAACAAAACAATAGAAAATACGTTAATGATGACAGCGATAACATAACTATCAACAAGATCTCACCTACGTATGACGCTATTCTTTCTGAGCATGAGTATTAGGAATAGCACGGCTAATGTTTATTTAAATTTCTGAATATTCTTTTATATAATTTTTTATAAGTTTCAAGCACATAGTGTATCTATTTTACGAAATACATGTTGGTTGTTTACTAAAAGAGTCTATAGCGACATGGGTGGCAAGATCAAAAATGAGGAAAAAAGGGGATTTGGTTTTAGATTACGCGAGATAGCTGCGCTGTTGTAATTTTGCCAATTGCTTAGATTTAATATCTGTTGTTATGTGTTATGTTATGTTAATTTTTGCAGATTTTTGAGTTTAAAGTTAAAATAAATAACGGTATTTTTATAGTTTTACGTGTATTTCGGTGGACTGAAGGATTGATTGTAGTTGTCTCACTTACGGTGCATGCAGTAAAAGAGAAATAATGAGATTTGAGATGATAACTAGAAAAACATCAGTTCATCCAATTCTGTTATATTCTATTAAGTGAATAATAACAGTTTTTTCTACAAAAAATTTCTTTCACTCATTGAAAATAGTTTTAGACATATTATTTACCAAAAAAGTATTAACACTTTATTTAGATCTACAAGTTCATCAAATGATAACTTGAGTTATGCTTATATCTCCTCTAGGAAATAATATTGCACACATGTTATAGTAGATAGATAACGAATTCTGAAGACGGAAATTATTAAAAAATATATTACTTTTATATTTATTGTTATAGATTAGCTATTGTTCTATTATTTATGAGATTTTTATAATATAATACACCTGCGTACATTTAAGATGTGTCAGATGATGACTTGACACCGTATGTGTAGACGCTTGATTCTTGATTTACACCATATGGTAACATTGAACAGGGTTAATTATCTGACACCGGATACTATAGACTCTAGACATTACGTGGTTACAGGATGCTGTCTAAACGCCACATGGTTTCTATTTTTAAACCGCATGTTAATGACCTGTCCGCCTGATAATTGCTACCTCCTTTACTCCACCAAACACATCATTTAAGGTGTGTTGGTTCCTACAGGGAACATTCCTAGGATGGTCCAAACTAGTTGACCATTCCATTCATAAGAACATCTAAGCCAAGACATACTAACAATACAACTATACTGAACTGTTCCAGGTCTGTCCGCTGACAGAGCCTCTAGGTAACATGTGAGGCAGAATTAGCATGGCTCTCTTTTGCAGTAATTATAGTGGAAATCTATACAAACAAAAAGATATGATAAAGACACAGGTGGGTATTCTTAATGACCTATATGATAAAAAATAAACCTATCTTCATATAAAACACCACAAACAAAATTTCATTCAAATATGTCAGGAAGTTATCTTAAAAAAGTGAGGTATTTGATCTAGGTAAATGGGTTTATTTTTATCCAAGGAAGCTATTATTGAAGCATGCATAACTTATTCGCTGATAAACTGAGGTAAAACATTCACCAATAAATGAGAAGGGTTTTCAGTTTCAGAAACACCTGGATCAGTTGTAAACTTTTCATTTAGTAAATTATAAAATGTGTATTTAATTCAAATAATTTTTTATAAGCAGGTGCATAGCTAGAGAGTCCGGTGCCCGCCCCAGGAAGAAAAAACAGTCCAATATCTTTTTTTTCGTCGGAGTAGCTAGCTGACCAGCTGGCCTTTCAAGGCCTACCCCAAACAAAAATCCTACCTCTGCCCATGTTTATAAGATGTGTAAATGGATATATTATAATACTATAAATAATTATATTTTTTGTGTTTTATTTATTATAATTTAGTTTTGTATGTTCTGTGTAGTTTATTTAATAAATAATGCTAGGCGCCAATTTATAGTATTATAAATATTTGTTTAACATGTGAAATGTATTTAAAATATTTAAATTTAAAAAATATCACAATAAAATATGTTCTATACTTACCAAGCTAGCTCTTTTTATATGTCACTTAATTTGATTTTGAATTTTTAAATGTAAATTTATTCATTATATAAGTGTATATATACATATAGTGCGTCCCAGAAGTAACGCAAAAAAATCGTATTTTACTTTGTGTTGAGTTTTCACAAAAACGCTAAAACCCATCAATTAGTAAATAGGAATTGTCGTTTTGTCACGTTGGTTAAACCTTTTTTGCGCTCTCTTTCATAAACCTATGACATCATTGACAATTTTTTTTAAATAGCACTACCTAATTTTTTAAGCATAAATGGATAGCCATTTTGAAGGAAAATGCGTCGATATAGGGTTTGGCCTACTTTACTTTGACAGGTGCGAAAAAAGCCAACGATTGGAATGGGCATGGTTTAAATTAATAACAAAAGTAGGTATCACTAGCTTATGAACGAACAGTGCTATAGCAAAAAATGTGTTTAGGTTGATGTAGGTACATGTTTTTATGTAGATTTGGTAGGTACACCCGATCACAGCGGCTATGTAGGTATTGTTTTGAAGACGACAGTTAGCGAATGCAATAGTGCCTCATATCATTGTGACAGTTACAAATACCATAACTTTACATTGCGATGATGTTGTGTTTAAATGAGAAACAAAGAATTGAAATCCTAATTATGGTTGGATACGGAGATAGGATCCGTAGTTATGATGAAGTATGTCATTTATTCAAGGCCAAGTAGAACAACCAATAACTTCGTCTACAGCATGCACATTAGTACGCAAATTTGAAGACGCTGGACATGTTAGAGATCTGTCTAGATCTGGAAGGTCAACGACAGTGATAGAAAATGATAGGCAAAATGTTATTTTTAGCTGTCACTGAAAATCCACACACTTCCGTTCGTCGTATCGCCGAAAACGCCAACATATCAATACATAAAAACGTACCTACAATCAACCAAAACACAAAACATCTACAAATTCCCATTTTTTGCCGTGGCACTGTTCTCGCATCAGTTTATGATACCTACTTTTGTGGTTATTCCAGTCATTGGCTTCTTTTTCGCTCCTGTCAAAGTAAAGTAGGCCAAACCCTATATCGGCGTATTTCCCTTCAAAAGGACTATCCATTTATGCTTAAAAAATTAGATAGTGCTATTTAAAAAAAATGTCGATGACGTCATAGGTTTATGAAACATAGCGCAAAAAAGGTTTAAGCAACGTGACAAAATGACAATTCCTATTTACTAATTGACGTGTTTTAGCGTTATTGTGAAAACGCAGCACATAATAAAATACGAATTTTTTGCGTTACTTCTGGGACACATTGTATATATATTTTTTAAATTATTCTCAAACTATAATTTTGTTATATTTTAAAAAATTTAATAATCTTAATGACAACTAGACTGGTAGTGTACGTTCTGCAAATTATAGAATCAAAATTTTAATAGAGCATGTTCATATCTCAGTAGTCGGTTCTAAAGGGTTTGTTCTTTCTTATAATTTTCTTTCTCACCGCATTCTTATATCTAATTACAATGTTTATTAATATATCGTTTTCAATCTCAACCAATCAGATTATTTTATAATTTATACATTTTTAATTTACCATTTTTAATGCCATTTTATTCTTTTTTTAACTACATTACATTATTTTGTGGACATTTTTTATTCCTTTAGACTGAGATTTCATTATAATTTTCATATCATTATACACTGTCACTTTTCATCCCGCTGTCACCCAAATTATCCTTACTATTTTGTAGATTAGATTTTATAATTAAAAATTCAATTTCTACCTGTTACAATATATTTTGTCGTAGACTGTTACATATAAGTAATTTATTTAATAAATAACCTTGAGTTTTATTAGCCACAAATTATAAATGCAATAAGTACAAATTTAGTTTACTAAAACTTTAGATTATTTACTTATTCTCTATTTACTTTAATATTATCATATTTTTTTAAATATGCAATTACAATTCCTGCAGTTGCAGGGATGGAACACAAGAGAAGAGTAAATTTTTCTCCATAGAGGGTTACTAATATGCTGGAAAAAATTGGTGATATTAATTCCGATAAAGAGAGTACACCATCAAACAAGCTTATTATTCTACCCTTTTCACTTTCATTAACTGTATTGTTCAGTAACTCAAATAATGTTGAATCCAAAAGTGTTCTTGATACAACCATTGTGATCATAAAGCATAAAAATATAAAGTAAACTGAAGACATTCCAAGTCCTAAATAACTTAATGCTAACAAAGAACATCCATGAAGAATTCTTAAATAACCTTTATCTTTTTTGTAATATGTGTTATTTAATTTTACAAATACTAGATTTGTAATTATGGATACAACTCCGATTAGGCAGAAATTGTATCCCAAGTATCTTCCATCTATTTTAAAATGATTTAATAACACTAATCCCATATTTATTTGCATTAGTCCATAACTAAACTCCAAAAATCCTTTGATTATAAAAAGTTCCCAATAATGCGACCATTCTAAATGTTTCATGCTTCTGAAAATTATTTGAAATTTTTCCAAACTATTGCTATTGGTTGCCTGTTTTTTATCCTTTGGTTTGGATCTTTCCTCTGGTAATGTTTTAGTTATAACTAAAAAAGGTAAAAATGAATTATCGTTTTCAAGTAACTCCTTAATTCGACTCAAACTTCTGCAGTGTTCTTTAGTCAAAAGGTTTTAATGGACTTAGAGTCAATCCCGATTGAAGATTACCCTTTTTTTAAATGTCTTCTAAATCAATTGAAGTATTAGTGCCAAATTTACTACACGCTCTTAGTTACTGATGGTTCACATTCATATAGAGTTACAAAAATAATGGGTTTGTAGAACCCACTTTTCCTAGCCACCATAATAAAAAACTTAGATCTGCAGCATGAAAGCGCAATCATAAAAAAAAATATTACATTTGTAATATTTTGTTAAAGGACACGGTTTCGAGATAAAAATAAAAGTATACTACCATACATTTTTAAACTATTACTTTAAATTTTATTTGATTGGTGTGATTAAAGAATAGATTAAACAACTAATAACAAATTAAAGAAAGTTGCTCTCCTTCTTCAATAGTCTATATTTATATTGATCAGTATTAGGTAATACTTGTACATGTTAAATATAACGAGCGTTCAAATAAAAACGTGGTCAAGTTGGTTCTGAAAATTTGGACGTAGGGCGTAGCGTATAGCAAATGAACTTAAACGTCATCTGTCAAAGCGCTATATCGCCGCTATCAATTTGAATATTTTCGTTTTAAAAAGCGTTTAAAATGGTGTTTTCTCAAGAACAAAAAGTGTTTATCATAGAGTCCTACTTTAGAAATGGACGCAAGATTGATGGAATATGGAAGTATTCTATTGAGGAATGTTTCATAGAATTTCAAAATCAATTTCCCGGCGTTGTTGAGTACAAAATTTTTCAAAGTGCAGTTCAGCGTTGTGTTAATGTTTTTCGTGAAACGGGCAGTGTAACAAGAAAAGAAGGAAGCGGCCGACCTAAAAAGCGGACTGAAGAATTAAAAGAAAATGTCCAACAAATAATGGAAAATGCGCCAAGAACTTCTGTACGTGTTTTATCACAAATGGTGGGAGTATCAGTCGGTACCTGCCACACAGTGTTAAAACAAGATTTGCGTTTGTTCTCCTATCGTTTAACTTGTCAGCAAGAACTTCATGAAGTTGATTTTCCGCGACGGGCTGTATTTTGTGAATGGTTTTTAAACAACTACGGTGAACTTCATAATATCACCTTTTTTTCTGATGAAGCCTGGTTTCATTTAAGTGGTTACGTAAACTCACAGAATATGAGAATGTGGTCTTCTGAAAAGTCAGATAACTTTTTTGTCGAGGGCCCTCTACACGCTCAAAAAATTGGAGTTTGGTGTGCTCTCAATCGAAGGAGGATTTATGGTCCTATTTTTTTTAATGGTACTCTTACTGCGCAAAGGTACAGAGAAGAAATTATCGCTCCTTTTGTTAACCAGCTGGAAGAAAACGAAATTACAAACTTTTACTTTCAACAAGATGGCGCAAGGGCACATACGGCAGGCGAGACGATGAATATGTTGAGGGAAGTTTTCCAAAATCGACTAATAAGTCTCAATGCTGAACATGAATTTCCACCGAGGTCATGTGATATTACGCCGTGTGATTTCTTTTTGTGGCCTTACCTTAAAAACACTATTTTTGAACTGCCTATTCCTGATTTAAACCATCTGCAGGCTCGACTTCTAGACAAGATTCGTGAAATTAACAATACCCCGAGCATCTTAGAAAATGTCTTTAATTCTTTGAGGAACAGGTGTGAAAAGTGCTTGGAACAAGGAGGGGGACACTTTCAGCAGCTGCTTTAATTTATTGTTATAACAAGGAAGGGGACACTTTCCGCAGCTCCTTTAATTGTTTGTTATTGTTATCACGATTATTCTTTAAAATAAAGTTATATAGTCATTAACGTATTGAAACTGACAGCTGCTATACAGCTCGTTGAGAAATGAGGTTAAGTTGGTCGCTATAAGCTACTCCTTACGTCCAATGTGTCAGAGCCAACTTCGACCACGTTTTTATTTGAACGCTCGTTATAATATAAAAATACAGTAAATATTATGGTTTTCTCTTTTTTCTTTCATTTAATGTTAGCAACATTTACTTGCATGTGAAGATGAATGTCAAAGTTTTCTTTGATCTTTAGTAATCCAGGCAATTGTATATGTATAATGATATAAGGTTTTTATTTTACTCGAAAACCGTATAATCCACGGGCCTACGTATAAAAAAAATGATTACCAACAAGCTGTAACTTTGCGTGCACCTTAAGTTTGACGAGTCTCCCAAGATTTGACTACGAGGAAAATTCAACAGTGGCAAGTTTTCCCGTGATTTTCAGGAAAACATGTCAATCTGGCATAAATACGGAATGTTATGATCAGCACTTTTTTTTAAGTTTAAATGAGATATTTTTTTTAAACCCACCAAAAAATTTGTCCGACAAAAATTTTGGCATTTTGAGTTTGTCCCTCACCCCAAATATGTAGATTTGGTGATATTATGGTTGGTGACAACCAGCAAGCTGATTTTTCTGGGAGGGTTTGGTAATAAGATTTGAAATAAAAGTATCTTATTGTCCGACAAAATTCTTGAGAAGTTCTTGCAGTCCGACGCCCCGTAGATGTCGATTTAACGATAACATGGTTGGTTATATATAACCAACTGTCGGACAAAAGCGTCATTATTTAAAAAAATGTAATATTAATCTGAGAACAAAATTATCGATTTTTTTGCTTGTCTGACAAAATTAAACGATAAAATTTTGCGGTTTCAATACTTACACATGATGTAGAAGAAAAATTTATAATTAATATTTTAAAAAATATGAATAAAAAAATTTTCTTTAAATTTCTCAAATTTCAAAATAGATGACTTTTAAATTAATTTTTTATACAATTACAAAAAAATTGTATATACGCAATATCCGAACATTTAGAAAATTAATTAACAACTAAAATTGCTGCATTTCAATCGTACCTTATTAAGTGGAAAATGCAGAACAATATTGTTAAAACCGAATAGTAAATATTAAAAATAGTTAAATAATTTGTTATAAAATTATTGATTAATTAATTGTCATATGATCGATACTTATAAAAATTACCATTTTTTATAAAATTACCATTTTTATAAAAATTACCATTTTTATAAAATTACTATTTTTTATAAAATAGTTACAATACTTAGTTCGGGTTGCCTATACCTGAAATGGATACAAAATTTCAATTGTCAAAAAAAATTATTCTTCATAAAAATGTTTGTTTATCCAGAAGCCCTTGGCAAGATAGTCATTTGTTCAATTTAATGTACAGGGTGTTCAAAAATTTGGAAAAGATAGAAACAGTAAAGAGTAAAGTACCTTAATTCTTAGCGCTACGTGAAAAAGTATTGGGGAAAAGTTGCTTGGAATTAAATTTTATGTTTAAATATGAAAGCATGACCCTTTAGTTTATACTCGACATTCTGGGATATTCTAGGACTCTTATTTATTTTTTAATACTTTCGGAGAAGCCATTCTATTTAAAAATATTGCTTTATTAAAAAACAGATACACATGTTTGGATATTAATAATTTATTTTTTATACAGGGGGATCAAAGACCTCAAAAACAACATTTATCTTGAGAACACAGTAGAATTAGTATGTACGCGCCATTACAAAACTATTCTACATGAAGTCCGCCAAGTTCAACACATCTCCAATCTTTTTCTAAATGCTGCGTAGGTCGAATGTATAATTTCTTCGTTTACTTGGGTAACAGCTTCAATTATCCTGCTTTTAAAGAAATCAACATTGTGTTGCACTGGTTCTCTGTAAATAATCAAGCGGCGACAAGTCAGGGGACCTTGCTGGCCAACAAATAGGACAATATCTTCCTATCCACTTCTCTTGAAATTTTCTGTAAGCCAATTGTGGACTAGAATTGTTGAGTGAGCGGAAATACGCTTTTTGTCTATATTACAAATGTTCTTCTTCTAATTCTGGTAGTGTTAAAATTTAAGGTACTTTACTCTTCTCTGTTTTTACCTTTTCCAAATTTTTGAACACTTTGTATATTAAATTGAACAAATGACTATCTTGCCAAGGGCTTCTGGACAAGCAAACTTTTTATGAAGAATGATTTTTTTAGTAGATTTTATCAAAAATTTTTAGGAGCAATATATTTTCCAATTTTATTTTTCACGTGATCACAAGTTAATTTTCCAAGAGGAAAAAAAAATCGCCATTTTTTAACATGGTGGCTATAAAATGTGACTACAAATAAAAAAATTATATATACAGGGTATCCCTAAATTCATGCAACAAAATTTGGTCACAAATTCTCAAGACAAATTTAGGGGACCCGTATATTTTATTTTTGCCAAGTGGCCCCCTCTTTAGGAGTTACAGCCCCCTGAATGCGCCCCTAAGAATAATCTTTTTTTTATATCTCAGAACCCTGTTGTACGAGAATCACTAAATTTGGTACAATTTTTCGTGTGCCCCCTTGTCTTTGGAGTCAAAAAAATTAGGCATATTTAAATTTCTTAAAAAGCCATTAAATTTAGAAACTTTTTGTCTTTATACTTTTTTCGTAAAACGCAATGTTTTCGAGAAAAATGTCAAAATGTTATCGAATGCATATCGTGATTCGCCATTTTCCTCAAAAACATTGCGTTTTACGAAACAAATATCAAGAGACAAAAAAGTTTCTAAATTCAATGGTATAAAGCTAATTAATAATTTAAAAAAAAAAATCAAATTTGCAACCAAATTTTTCTGTTTCCAAAGACAAGGGGGACCACGAAAAAGTGTCTTAAGGGGGTTTCTCGCCAAAAACATGGCGAGAAACACAATGTCATAAAACCCCTGTGTACCAAATTTAGTAATTCTCGTATAATATGGTTTTGAGATATAAAAAATACTTCTTAGGGGCAGATTTCAGAGGGCTGTAACTCCGAAAGAGGGGGCCAGTTGTCAAAAAGAAAAAATATGGGCCCTAAATTTGTCTTAATAATCTATGACCAAATTTTGTTGCATGAATTTCGGGACATCTTATATATATATAT